GTGCTCCAGGAGGACGGGTTGCGCCCATGCCTTCGGATTATTCTTGTAACCGCCCCCGGGTCTGGCTTGGCCACCTCGGGAGCGATCGTTGTACTGTGGCTCTCGGTTGGTCGGAGGGGGAGGCCCTCCGGGCCGATTCCTGCCTTCATTCTTCTGAGAAGGATCCGTATTGCGGCAGTCCTTCTCAATTTCTTCCGCTTCAGCGTATCGATCCCCCCGCTGAAGGGCCTTGGTATAATCGCGGGGGGGGGGGGGGGGGGGGTCAGTGATGAGACTCCTGGAGAAGTTACCGTTGCGGAGGACGGTGTGGAAGAGGGCCATCAGGGTTCTGTCATCGACGCCTTCGACCTCGAGGGAGGCCTGCCTCCAGCGTTCTAAGAAACTCCGAAGGGTTTCCTCCTTCTGTTGTCTCACGTTCAGAAGGTGGGAGAAGTGCTTCTTTGAGCGATGCCTCCCAGCAAATTGTGTAAGGAAGCGGTGGGCAAGTTCTTGCCAAGAATCAATGATGCCTTCGGGCAATCGGTTGAACCACTCATACGCGGGCCCCTCCAAGGTGGAAAGGAACCAACGGCATAAGTATTCATCTGAGGCCCCCATCATCATCATGCTATTTTGATAGCGGCTATAGTGCTCTTGGGGATCTGTCTTCCCCTCATACGGTTTGATGGGTTGCCCGCGATACTTGTGGGGGATTTTGGCCGCCAGCACCCTTGGGGTGAAAGGCGTCCTAGTGCGGAGCTGAATGAGGGGCTCGCCGGAGCCTTCGGCGAGCTTACGCTTCATTTCCTCCACTTGCGCCCGGAGGTCAGCGTACTCTGGGTCTGGCCTTGCCGTGGAAGCCGTCGGGGGAGCCTGACGATTCTCCTCAAGTTGACGGAGGAGGGCTTCGATGATTTCGTCCTTAGGATCCTTCGGGGCAACCCCTTGGGAGTTGGCCCGGAAGGATTGCGCCTGATTGATCTGGTGCCTGGCGTCATCGGCATGGAGGAGGGCTTTGCCTTTGCTTCGGGGGGAAGGCACGCCCTCGGCGCCCGAAGCAGAGGCTCCACTCTCCTGGGGCCTGCTGAATGCTTGTTTCCCGAGGCGGTCTTGGACCCCTCGGTGACCGGGAGCTCCCCCAAGCCTTTCAAGTACAGAGGTTCGGGGTTTCTCTTTCATCATGGGGCGCTTGTCCCTGGATTGGGCCTCTTGGGAGGCGGTATCCTGTGCTATGACCCCCTCGGCATTGCCAACCCCCGGGGGGTTGTTGAACAAAGGGGGGGAGTGGCGGTAGGTTGATAACATTCCCTCCAGCATAGGGCTGAAGGGGTGTCTGGGAGACGAGGGCTCCGGAGTTGAGAGCCATGTTTTGAACAAAGGCCGCAAAGGCTGCCTGAAGATCGATGGCCGGGGCCGGAGGGGGAACTTGGTTCTCACTCCGATCCCTCCTTCGATTATCAAGGCCAATGCGGGCATCAGGGGCGTTCTTCTGTAGTTGCTGACGGAGGTCAGCAGTAGCCTGCTCCAATTCGAGGATGATACCACCCTCGGGCACTAAGAGCCTGTTGGAGGCCTCAGCCCCGTTGGTTTCGCCGGGGGCTGCGTGGTTTTCCTCTAGGGTTTTGGATTGGGCACGAGTGGTTCTTCCCATTTTTGGTAGGTGTTCTGTATTTGGTAGAGGGGGAGGGTTTCTTACTTGATAGTTCAGACCTCTCAACGAGAGCACCAAATGATGGATAGTCTACCCGGGGGGTATCTTATCCGAGGGGTTATTGCGGGAATAACTAGAGAGAAGTCAGAGTAAATAGGAGGAGAGAGAGTCGATTTTATTAAATGAACTCAGCGTGTGGAGTTGAGATGTAGATGTCCATTACAAGGAGAAATGGGCTGCTATTTATAGCAGCAATAAATGCGATGAGAGTACACGTGTCAGTAATCCAACGGCCGAAGGGTCACATCAGTCGGGTGGCACCGGCAGTGGTACGTTCACCGCATTGAATGCGGTTGGCGGATGTGACGTGGCATTAAATGCGGTGGTTGGCTGTCTCCAAAAGGAATCTTCGATGATTGAGCATGTTTGGCCGAAGGCTTCTTGTGTAGCCGAGGGCTCCGTGTAACCAAGGACCCCTGTGCACCCGAAGGCCCTGAGTGACAGAGGGCTAAGTTCAGCCGAAGGCTTCCCTAATGCCGAGGGCTTGGTAATGCCGAAGGCTCATGTTTTTCGCCGTTTTCTCCCAGTAGCTCCGTACGCCAAAGAAGGCCATCTTGTGAGTTTTTTGGAGCCTTCGGCCAAGGAGGCCGAAGGCACCCCAGTGTGTACTCTGGGCTATTTTGAGGCCTGGGCCGTTGTATTTGGGCCTGAGTCGATTCCTGAGCCCAATGGACTTGTGTAGGAGAAGTAGGAGTCTATGGGCCGGGGGTTCCTGGGTCATATACTCCATCAATATTCATTATAAACTAGTGTAATATTGGAGCAAGGGGGAGGCGGGTTGGAAATGGGCAGGATATCTCTCTTTGGTAAAGAGTGGATCTCTCGCTCTGGTACTTCAGAGTTTAGAGGCCCTATGCATTTTTAGCATATTAACCTCTCATCGCACTTGACAGGATTCGAACCTGAGACCTACCCCTTGTTGCACCCCTTATCTACCAGTTGAGTTACGCTCACTAACGATAATAGATTTGTTTAAAGAGGATAGGTCGGATTGGAATTTGGAAAGGGCCAGATCATCTGTAATGATGAACAGTTCAACTATTTTGAGTATTCTCTTTAATTGTAGGGAGCTAAGAAGATAGGTATTGGTTGAGACTTGAGAGGGGATTCCCAGGGATAGTACACGGTTAAATTCGAAACATGAGGCTGATAGGTGAAATTGTGGAGGATGGTTCAATGGGTTGGATCAAGATGTGGGTTTTTTCTGCCACAAAAAAAATTAAACATTTTTTTGACCAATTATGACAGAAAAGTTACCTACGACGGACAAGCTAAGACAACGAGAGGTGAGTATACCAGGTATCTGCAAATTGTGCAATGAGGATGACGAGTCTAGGATCCATCTATTTAAAGATTATCGGGCGGTGGTTGTAGTCTGGGAAAAAGTTGGAATTGAATTCTGACGGCCTGTGTCGTCATGGCAGGAGTTGATGGAGGAACTTCTTTCCACCATAGCTGAGGAGGATTTATGCAAATTTATAGTCACACTATAACACATATGGAAGGAGCAGAGCGAAGTGGTGTGGAATAATCATTATTTTAATGCTTTAGAGGTGATAAACATGGGAGTTTCAGTGTTACTAGGATGGCAGGAAGCAGCAGCGGAGGAGACTCGGTGTGTTAAGCCTTCTTCTGGAACAATCAAAATTAATGTCGATTGAGCCACAGATGATCATCAGATATGCAGAGCTTGGGGATGGGTTGCTAGAGATCACAAGGACGAGCTTATTGGAGGAGGATGGGAACATCATACAACAGAATGGTCAGCAAGCATCACAGAGGCTTTGGAAGTTAGAGCGGCTGCTACATGGGCACAAAATCAAGTATGGAACAGAGTTGCAATGGAAACAGACGCTCATCTGATTACAACAAGACTAGGGCAAGATTCAGGAGACTCATATTTTGACACTATCATTGGTGATATTAGACACATTCTTCGTAATGAAGCTAGATTTATTGTCCAATATCGTAAACGATTCGCGAATCGTGTAACTCGTAAGGTTGCTAGGGTCTCATTATCCAAGTCGGATTGTGGTTACCTTGATGGTACCCTAAGTTGTATTTCGAGTCAATTGGCAAACGATTGTTTGAATTAATATATTGATTGTTTTCATTTAAGAAAACGAAGTAGGGGTGGACAAAAATACCGAACTACATGGTACCGAATCGGACCGGTATTGTACCGCACCAAAAAACGGGGTTTGAAACGGATTTAAAATTTTTTGTCCCGAATCAGACCGTACTGATTCTAAACAATGCCATGACCGGTTCTCATAAAATGAAAACCGGTACCAGATTGAACCAGACCGGAATTATGGTTTAATTATTTAAATGTACATTTATACCATTACTTTGAATTTATAGCATTACTTTGAGTAGTGCCTTCACACTTTCACCGACTTTGCTGATTCATAGGAAGCCTGGAATCAGACTGATGTATGATTTAATTATTTAATTTGTACTATTATAGTTTATCCGAAATTTATTAATTATGTAATATGAAATTTGATAAATTGTGTGGATTTTTTTAGGATGTTTAAACTTTAATTTTCTATTAAATACTTAGAAAAAGTGACACTGTTTGATATTGGTATGCCATGGTACCACCCTGTTTGAAAATGCAACCATACCGAACATGTTTAGGTCTAAGACCGAACCGAATCGAACCATTCGACAAAATATTGGACTGGACCGGACCACGCCAACCCCTATATCAGAGCATGCTTCGGGAGTATCCGAGTATATTGATATGAAATTAAATGGTAAACATTAATAGCTAGAAGAGGTTAAATAGTTATCTGAGTTGACGTGCAAACAGTACACCGGACCGAACCATACTAAATCGAACCGAAACTGAATCATATGTAATTTGGTTTGAGTATGGCAGTAACTCTTCCAACCTGTAATGAATCGAACCGAACTAAAACCGAGAAAAAATCGAATAAAACCGAATCGAATTAAAGAAATTCGATAAAATACACATATATTATATTGAAAAAGAACTGAACCAAACCAAACCAAATCAAACCGAAAGATAGTATGATTTTTGTTTGGTAATAATTCTTCCAATCCGTTCCAAACCGAACCGAAACCGATAAAAATTGAACCAGAAACCTATCTGCCATCCCTAGTACCGAAATTGATGATCATATCAAAACATACTAAGATTGATAATTAATTCCTTTGAAGTTAATTTTAATTTATTCCTTCTACTCGGTCCAGTGAGGGCTTTCGTTTCTAAGACATGTTTCCCGAGTTATTTCCCAAAGTGGGGTACTTTCTAATCTTATTTCCCAAAAGAGGGTACTTTTAAACTTATTTCTCAAACAAGGATATTTTTGCACAGTCATCACACCAGGTCAGCATCCAAGTTAAATTCCATTTCCACGTCATGTTCCCATCATATCAGAAATCCATGTCATCAACTCATCACCTATACGGCTATACTAAATCATACAGACTACAGAGTATAAAATATTACTCCATTTGGAGAAAATAATAACGCCTGCGGGAATTGAACCCACACCCACTCTTCTACCATTTCTTTTTGTTCACCACTGCACCACAAGCATGCTTCGTTATGCGTACATATTTACGTTTACTTATATAAGTCATATTCACGTTTAGTTATAATAATAATACTAACAGAAATCCTAGTAATAATTATAATTATAATAATAAACTTTACCTCCGTCCCAATTAATAATAATAACTAGTCTTTTACCCGTGCGTTGCACGGGATAACAAACTAACAAATTACTTACAAAGCCATCAAGTAGCTCAAAGGCTTATGAAAGCGTACATAGATTATTTCCATTGGCAAGAATATTTGAAATACACATTCTTGAGCTGAAGCGGGTATCAACCTTTGTAACATCTCAACATAATTTCCAATCAAATCTAGTCATCCACAATAGTAGATAGAACTCTATATAAATTTTCTAATCCCTATATAATATCTAGTTGCAACAATGAATGAGTGTGTGGCTTGCCTCCTCCCATCAACACCCGATCGATCAAAACTAAGCCTAACTTGACTATGACTTGCCCCAGACATAACATGATTATAAGTTTTTTATTTAGAAAAGAGACACCAATTAAGCATGTGCCGATGTGCCTAGAGTCCCACCCACAGCTATTACAGTTGATAATTCATGCATATTTTGCAGTTCCAGAAATAGCTTGATAGTAAAATTTCATTGTGCACATTAGCACCTGCAATCCCAACAATGAAAAAAAAACATCTTTATAAGATAGTCACAAACGTTACACATCTATAATGTATATATGAACCACAATAAGGAGCATAATGCAAATTTGGTCACAATTTTGCTATTATGTTCCCCAGGTAATGAAAGAAATGCATCAAGGAAAGAAAAACCTATCTCCAGAAAGTTCTAGAGAACACAATAATGTGAACATGATATTTTGTTTCTGTTGCATAAAGCTCCTATATATGATGACTCAAATGAATGGCGAAAAAACTCAATTAAATAAAGAAATGATGTGGAACCATGTGGTGACTCAATATGAGACTTTGCTCAAAGTTGACAACTAATGTAGATCCATGTTGGATTTGTTTTAATATGGATTTAGTGATTTTTCTCTTCTCAATGAACACCCCATCTACAATTATGGTTTAAAGTCTTGGCTCAAGGGATAGAAGATACTAAGGAAAAAGAACTATACCTAAAAGAAAGAAAGAAATGACAAATGAGTATGGATTAAAGTAAAAAAAATTGCATCTTCAACTCTTCTAATCTTAAGCTTTGTAAATCAAGGTCGAAAGCGAAAGAATAAAATGCATTTAGTTAACAATGTCTAACGTGTTACATAATACAAAATTGGATTTTATTAGGTTGAAATAATAAAAGGTTGCTTCATCATGCCACTCTAGAGGCCCAATTATCACAAATTCAAGTAAAAAACTTGCATCATTTTCCCTCAAACTAAACTTCTACATGTTATCATGTGTTCTCATTAAACTTGTGTTGGGATATATTATCCCGGCCTATTACTGTTCAGGAGCCCAAGACTTTACGTAGTACGGAGCCCAATCAGTAAGGCCCATTTTAGCCTTTCAGGCCTGTTTCGGCCTTTGGGCCCATTTTGGCCCATTCGGCCCGTTAGGGTGGAGAGCCTCCTTTCCCCCTATTCCCTATAAATAGGAGGTTTCCCTCCATGTAAAAGGATCCTCTTTTATCTTCTTCTTCCTTCTTTCTCTCTAGCTAGCTCAATACTCCATAAATGGAGCTCAAAATGTACTTTGTAATGGTGAGGAGAGTCCTAACGAGAAAGAGAGGGCTTGGACATTAGCCTAAAAAGTCCTGTGGTTTTCTCCCTTTCGGGTTTCCACGTAAAAACTGAGTGTTCATACATATATTTACTATATCGTGTTGGATTAAACTCAACACTGGCGCCGTCTGTGGGAATCTGTCCAAAAAGATTCGCGTTGTTCTTCAGTTCCAAGAAAAAATTGATACGAAGGACTAACTTCAACAAAGAAATGAGGAAGAAGATTCTGGGAACAAGGAAGAAGAAATTCTAGAGAAAGAAAAATGATTTCAGCAAAAAGAAAGGAAAAATTCTGGAGCTTTGGCCTTGGGAAGCTCCGGATCTGAGGCAAGAATGTGGCTGTCAGCAGCACCTGCCCAATTGACCGAGCAAGAAGAAAGCAGGAGATGGTGAAGTCTGGGAGTCAAGTCGGGGTTTTCCTAGAGCTGGGTTGGGGTTACCGGAGCCGCCGTCACCATCCCCGACCGCCGTGGACCCTCCACTGTGTTCACCTGCAGCCAACGAAGCCGCTGCAGCACTCCAGATCCCGCAGCACCTGCAACACAGTTGCTCACCAACCGCAGGCCACTCCATCACCTGCTCTGAGGCCGTGAGAGCCTCCACCACCCTGCCGACGTGCCTCGAGGTACCTCCCGGCTGGGAGTTCTGGGATTCCGGCCGTTAACAGTGGTGTATAGCTCACGGGAGGTACTAGAGACTAGCCGCTCGGGCTGTCCTTGCTCTGCCGCGACCACCATCTCTATCGGCAGAAAGTGGTCGGCAAGTACGAACTGCGTCCGGATTGGTAGGAGGGTGCTCCACCTGCCTTGTCTAAATGATATGCTCCGTATACAATGCCTTGGTCTAAGGCAGACCACGTCCGCAAGTCTAAGGCCAAGCAATGGGGGGCCAACTTTATGGGAGGAGCTTTGACCAAGACAAGATGGGGAAAATACTCAAGTAGCTCATTTTTCACTACTACATGGCATCACATGGCCGAACCTCCATAAAGCTAAGTACCCACACCTTAAGTCGGTACATTTATTTATTGATGCTACAGAGTAATTTTCTTGCTACTGGTTAATATGTGATCATCATTATTTAATAGGGATTTAAGTATCCCGAAATTAAATAATGTCGAGCAAAATTCAAGTGAGTAAAGCTCTAGTGATAAGTTATTTTTAACCATCATTTTAATTAATGACTGGTTGTTGTGGGCCCGTCGGCCCGCTCCTGAACGACTTTGATTAGCGAACGGAGTATACTTGAATGGCCTTTGATAGGAAAGTATCATTACTGTTACCGGTTATATCACTATTATTTATTAGGGATAAAAATGTCCCGAATTAAATAATGCGGAGCGAAACTCTAGTGATAATTAGTTCGGCCAATATTTTTATTGGATATTTAATTTTTTGTGGGGCCTGTTGGCCCACTCTCGATCAGCTTGATTAGGTGATCCGAGCGTCCCCAGAAGGGCGATGCCCCGACGACGCATTTTAATTGGAGGGTTGCACATTAGTCCACACGGCACTACGTGCCCGATCGACGACCGTACCCCAGAACTATCCGCGCCGCTAGGCGCGAAGTGACTATTGCCAAACGTGGCCTATGGGGCCCGAGGGCAGCAAAGCACTCAACCTCGTTTTTCCGAGGGCAGTGCGACTAACTTGGGTCTGAGTTTGAAAACTCACAGACCGATGAATATTTTTGTGTGACGTTCGGCGGGCTGCTAATTGGCCCCGCCGCGAGCTGCTACGTCCATTGACCCCGCACGATGAGCCGGGCCGAGGGTCACGACGACCCATAGGCCGGTAATCGTGGATGTTAAAGAGAAAGCCATGCAAATGGCTATGTGTGTATACATATTGTTGGGCCGTGCGGCCGTTACCATGCTTATTGCGCAGTTGGAGCCACTTGACGCGCTCGAGCAAAATGATTAAAAGACGCTCGGCCTGAGCCTCGAAGACGTTCATGGCCAGCTAAAGAGGAGACCACCAAGGTTGAGAACCGTGGGACGAACACCCCCACCCCGGAGACCGATGGCTCGGGAAAGAACACCTTGTAGCCGAGGGTCTAGAGGGGACTACCACGACGGAGAATCGTGAGACGGTCACCCATCATTCTGAGGCCGAGGGCCTAGAGGAGATTGTCACGGCCGAGGGCCGTCTGACATCATCACAGCATGACCGGCCTCTCGGCGCGGCATGTTCATGTTGAAGACCGGCCTCGTCCCCGCGCTGCGCGGGCGAGGACCGTTACTGGATTCTTTCAGGTCGGCCTGTCACCGCCGACATCATTATATCACGACCAGCCTTTCGGGTCAGCGTGCTTATCCTTAGAAGACCGGCCTTGTCCCCGCACTGCGCGGATGAGGACCGTCGCTTGGATTTTAGGTCGGCCTATCATTGCCAACATCATTATATCACGACCGGCCTCTCGGCACGACATGATTGTCTTATTTGAAGACCGGCCTCGTCCCTGCGATGCGCGGATGAGGACCGTTGCTTGATTTCAGATCGGTCTACCGTTGCCGACATCATTATATCACGACCGGCCTCTCGGCTCGGCGTGTTTATCTTTTGAAGACCGGCCTCATCCCCGCACTGCGCGGATGAGAGCCGTTGCTGGATTGCGGGTCGGCCCCTTAGTGCCGACACTATCACATCATGTTCGGCCTCTCATCGCCGACATCATCATACCACGACCGGCCTCTCGGCTTGGCGTGCTTATCTTTTGAAGACCGGCCTCGTCCCCGCCACATCGCGGACGAGGACCATTGTTTGATTCTTTCAGGTCGGCCTCTCACTGCCGACACTATCATGTTATGTTTGGCCTCTCGGCACGACATATTATCTTTTGAAGACCGGTTTCATCCCCGCGCTGCGTGGATGAGAGCCGTTGCTGGATATATCGGCCTGATGAGACACTATTGTCATCTCCTTATCAGGACCGACTGCTCAGCGGCATTATGATCATTGTTTGTCGGCTCCCAATGCCGACCCTCTTGAGTTTGCGATCGGGCTCACGACTCCCCTCCAGGAGGGTGACCAGGGCCTTCGCATGACGACCAGCTATTCTATCGCCTCGTCATTATATTCGTTCGCTATGCCACCACCATTATGTGTGACATCCCGTGATCCCTGCGAGTTTCTTGGATACCGAATGTCTTCTTCGATGTAGGAAGATCGGTAGGACCACGGACCAGGGATGGACAAAGAAGAGCTAGGGAATCTCGATGTAGATAAACCCGTTCCTCCTTGTGAGTTTCGCGGATACCGAACGTCTCTTCGAAGCAAGAGCGCCGGTAGGACCAAGAACCAATGACGAACGAAGAATATAGATTGCCTCCCCCAAACAAAAAAAAAAGATGGGGAGAAGAGGAGGGTAGCTCCTATGTGGAAGGGAATCTTGCCCGGGCGTGCCAGATCTTCTCCCACCGCCGAAGACGAACGCCTCTCGATGTAGAGGTTAGTAGAGACGCGGAGGGGGCTAGACGAACCAAGGGAGCTTTGCCAAGATAAACCTGTTTATCCCACAATGACCATGGATCGATGGACGTGGGATAACAAAGTCGGGAACCCGTGAGGGTAAACCAGTTCGTCCCTGCGAGTTCCTTGGGTACCGAACGTCTTCTTCGAGGCAAGAGACGCCGGTAAGACTAAAAGGACCACGGACGAACGAAAAAGGGGGAATCTCGATGTAGATATACCAGTTCGTCCCTGCGAGTTCCTTGGGTACCGAACGTCTTCTTCGAGGCAAGAGACGCCGGTAAGACTAAAAGGACCACGGACGAACGAAAAAGGGGGAATCTCGATGTAGATATACCTGTTCCTCATTGCGATGTCCGCGGATACCGAACGTCTCTTCGATGTAAGAACGCCGGTGGGACCAAGGACCAATGACGAACGAAGACTAAAAGACTCCAAAAAAAAAAAGATGCCAGAAGAGCACGGAGCAAAGAATGATTTTATCCCTCGGCGCTATTAGCCGGGAAGTACAAACTGAAAAACATATGTAAAAGAATAATTACAAAACTTAAGTACAAAGAATGAGGTGGCCGACGACGATCGGCTAACATCAGGTTTTCTTTTGTCTTAAACGACGAATACCAGCTCCCCAGATCAGACAGGAGGGACATCGCCCAGATTTATTTCAGGCTCACCGTTCCTTCCCGGATGGAGTCCTGGCAGACGATCGGCTTCTCACAGCCAATCAGGAGAGAGACTTGACACATCACCAGCACGGCCGAGGGTCGTGAGACGATTACCACTCACCGACAGGCCGAGGGCCATAAGATGATCATCACTACTTTTCTGTATCACGATCGGCCCCTCAGCGCCATCGTGTCCAGATTCACGGTTCGGCTCGCCCATCCCTTCCAGGGTGGCGACGAACGTCTTATGCATCACGATCGGCCCCTCAGCGCCATCGTGTCCAGATTCGCGGTTCGGCTCGTCCATTCCCTCCAGGATGGCGACGACCGTCTTATGCAATGCGATCGGGCCCTCAGCGCCATCGTACCTGGCTTCACGGTTCGGCTCGCCCATTCCCATCGGATGGCGACGACCGTCTTATGCAGCACGATCGGCTTCTCAGCGCCATCGTGTCTCTTTCACGTTAGGGTCGCCCATCCCTCTCAGGATTGCGACGAACGTCTCTTATGCAGCACGATCAGCGCCCCAGCGCCATCGTGTCTGGCTCACGTTAGGGTCGCCCATCCCTTTCAGGATGGCGACGAACGTCTCTTATGCAGCACGATCAGCGCCCCAACGCCATCGTACCTGGCTTCACGGTTCGGCTCGCCCATACCCTCCAGGATGGCGACGACCGTCTTATGCAGCACGATCGGCTTCTCAGCGCCATCGTGTCTCTTTCACGTTCGGGTCGCCCACTCCTTCCAGGATGGCGGCGAACGTCTCTTATGCAGCACGATCAGCGCCCCAGCGCCATCGTGTCTGGCTCACGTTAGGGTCGCCCATTCCCTTTCAGGATGGCGACGAACGTCTCTTATGCAGCACGATCAGCGCCCCAGCGCCATCGTGTCTGGCTCACGTTAGGGTCGCCCATTCCCTTTCAGGATGGCGACGAACGTCTCTTATGCAGCACGATCAGCGCCCCAGCGCCATCGTGTCTGGCTCACGTTAGGGTCGCCCATCCCTTTCAGGATGGCGGCGAACGTCTCTCATGCAGCACGATCAGCGCCCCAGGGCCATCGTGTCTGGCTCACGTTAGGGTCGCCCATCCCTTTCAGGACGGCGACGAACGTCTCTTATGCAGCACGATCAGCGCCCCAGCGCCATCGTGTCTGGCTCACGTTAGGGTCGCCCATCCCTTTCAGGATGGCGACGAACGTCTCTTATGCAGCACGATCAGCGCCCCAGCGCCATCGTGTCTGGCTCACGTTAGGGTCGCCCATCCCTCTCAGGATTGCGACGAACGTCTCTTATGCAGCACGATCAGCGCCCCAGCGCCATCGTGTCTGGATCACGTTAGGGTCGCCCATCCCTTTCAGGATGGCGACGAACGTCTCTTATGCAGCACGATCAGCGCCCCAACGCCATCGTGTCTGGCTCACGTTAGGGTCGCCCCTCCCTTTCAGGATGGCGACGAACGTCTCTTATGCAGCACGATCAGCGCTTCAGCGCCATCGTGTCTGGCTCACGTTATGGTCGCCCATCCCTTCCAGGATGGCGACGAACGTCTCTTATGCAGCACGATCAGCGCTTCAGCGCCATCGTGTCTGGCTCACGTTAGGGTCGCCCATCCCTTCCAGGATGGCGACGAACGTCTCTTATGCAGCACGTCTGCCTCTCGGCGCTGACATGCCCGGTTTATCGATGAGAGCCACCGCTTTCTATCCCATCTCACATTCCTTCTCTCATACATTGCACCCATACATTACATGCATTCATGCATTCATGCATCATAACTCATACATTCATACATACACACGTGCATCGTGTCTTGACAGTACCACGACGTCGGTTTATTGATGCATGAACCTCTAAGCTTCTCCGATTGGAAAGCTCGAGTCAGAGTGCTTTACTCCCGCCTGATGCATTCAGGGGGAGTGTGCCCGTGGAGGAGCACCCTTCGCCCGACCATGTCGGAAAGGGGGGTGCCTCACTGGTAGATTACATTCAGGAGTACAGACACTCACTCATATATTATGATTATGTGAAGACATAGTTTCCAGCAAGACAGAGGAAGAGCGCAGGCAGAGTATATTTTCTCGAGCAGATTCGCACGCTCACTACTCAAGAAACTGGGGGACTTGTGTTGGGATATATTATCCCGGCCTATTACTGTTCAGGAGCCCAAGACTTTACGTAGTACGGAGCCCAATCAGTAAGGCCCATTTTAGCCTTTCAGGCCTGTTTCGGCCTTTGGGCCCATTTTGGCCCATTCGGCCCGTTAGGGTGGAGAGCCTCCTTTCCCCCTATTCCCTATAAATAGGAGGTTTCCCTCCATGTAAAAGGATCCTCTTTTAGCTTCTTCTTCCTTCTTTCTCTCTAGCTAGCTCAATACTCCATAAATGGAGCTCAAAATGTACTTTGTAATGGTGAGGAGAGTCCTAATGAGAAAGAGAGGGCTTGGACATTAGCCTAAAAAGTCCCGTGGTTTTCTCCCTTTCGGGTTTCCACGTAAAAACTGAGTGTTCATACATATATTTACTATATCGTGTTGGATTAAACTCAACAACTTGTCTTTTACCCGTGCGTTGCACGGGAAACAGCGTATTCCAAAAGTTACTTGAGATCATCGGGATATGTGAAATTTATACAAATTATGAAGTAAAAATAAGCAAACATAAAACATACACTGAACTAAATATATAGAACCGGATATTTTAAGTACGCATAGAGCATGCGTTGGTAACATTGAAATTGGCTGAATCGGTCGATTCTGCTGAAATTTATAAAGTTACGACTAAATCATCATTTGAGATCTATTTTGCATTAGTCAAGTATTATTACCACAATACTACATAGTATTATATTACTCCGTATTATACGTGAACATGTAGCAAATTAGCCATGGACCTGACATAGCAATTTCAAGAATGACATGATTATATCAACTAACTAATAACTTCGTATAATGTGATAAACACAAGATTCCCATTAATTAATAATTTCCTTTCCTAATTTTGTCTTATAAATTTGTCTGTCACATTTGATTTGGCATTTTAATATTGCCTTTCTTTTAGTTCATTTATAACAAACACCAACCAATTCGTAACAACATCAAACAAAACGAAAAATGGTAATGGAAAACTCAAACTCAAATTCTAGAGTCTACATTACATTATCATTACATAAAAAAGCTGCTAAAAAGGCCACACAAAATCAAAATACATTAGCAGCTTAATCGAACCACACTTCACCCCGTCACTGTCATGTAGAGGAACTACTCGAATCCCTCTTCGTAATTCACTTACGGCCAGATATGGCCAGATATGTCTGCCCACCAAATTCATCCTTTTCAGACACTTCACCAGTTCACCTTCATTCATAGCCAATTCTGGAATAGTTAACGGAAACTCAAATTCTTCATTCGAAACAGGTCTCCAATTGCCATCCATTTTTTTTTCTTATTCATTTCACAACAGGGGATCGTATAACATTTCCATCTCCTATTATTCTTTTCAAGGAACACTGTAATTATCAGGATATAACCAAATGCTTATTGTTCTACGGGAATTTTAAAAATAGAATATGATCAAGTTTATCATGATAGCCACATGCTATTAGATTTGTGATGCACCTCTTATTATCCCATGGAGTAGCAATTTTTTGTTAATTATAAGAACCCAAGCAGAGCACAAAAGCGTGTATTATGCTATTTATTAAAATGAAACCCTCTAAAAAAGTAAAAGAGACAAACATTTAAATCTCAAAAAGGAAACTCTAATTGTAGTATGTACTCTGTATTATATATCAAAGCTGCATTACCAATAATAATCTTAGAGTTCTCAAATCACAACCTTAAAAGAAGGAAATAGCAAGAATAACATTACAAACTAAACAAAAGGACTAAGAATAAAGAAGCACTTTTCACTCTTTAGTTGACCTTGCTGTTTCATCCCTTTGCTTATTGACATTCTTCATAAAGTTTTGGAGTTTTAAAATCTAATATAGGTCACATAGAAAATAGTAACCAATAATTGTGAAATATATTGAGATGGAAACCTCTGAATCACTCAAGGCAGTTGCTTGGGATGGCTGAAGTCAAAATAGATAGGAAGAGGTGGGCAATTGAATGTTATGCATAGTTAAAGCCGGATACATAGAATCTGAAATAATGGAGCATGAGCTTATTTTATTAAATTGCAGTTTCGGAAGTCTAGTATGTATTCTAAGCATCCAGTTTTAACACCTTTACCTATTCCTAATTTCCTACTCAGAAATTTAGTGAGGTCTCAAAAATAGAACCAAGGGAAAAGGAAAGATTGCAAAGGGAGGAAGAATTACCTTTCCATATAATTGGAACTAAATTTCATTTTTCAGGAAATGTAAATGCTCATCATGAATATAGACAATAAGAATGTTTTAAGGACAAAACAATTTGAAAGTGATTAATATGAAATCAAGTTCTACTCTATCATTTATGGGTTAGAAATCTTTTCCCAAGAAGTTAAGAAAATGAATTAGGCCACATATTGCATTTTTTTCTTTCAGTAGTAAGTTCTATAATCATAGGAGAGAAATCATTATATAAAAATGCATTTTTAATTCTTACCATACCACATTCACTTCAAAGAAATGAAAAGTAATCAAAGCATGTAATAAAAGAAGCATAAAAAAGTATTATAAATGAATAAGTGAATAACGAATACTTAAAAGATTCATTAAACTCTTCACTTCATCCTATCTCTCAAGGATTCATCATCTCTTACCACTTGAATAAAAAAGAAGAAAATACTACAAATGAAAGTGAATAAGCACAAAACTGTTGTTTAACTGCAAAATAACAATTTCCAGATTTTTTTAAAATGAAGTGGTTACTTACAACAATTAGAAAAGTAATCTTATAGATCTAAAAAAAAAGAGCAGGCATTGCAAAAAAATGAAATGCCATTGCTAGGGACAGTCCATTTGCACACAGGGGAAAAGGAAAAATGGAGCTTTTCAGCACCGGACGCCGCTAGAGCGTCAAATCCACCACTGCCACCTGCTATTCCACCACACCCATCGGAGAATCTAAGTACGGTGGCAATCGCAGCAGATTCCTCTTGTCTGCGACTCCTGGGAGTGATCAAAACATCAAAACATTTAATAAAAGAAACATAAAAAGGAAAGTATTATAAATGAATAAGTGAATAATAAATACTTAGAAGATACATTAAACTCTTCATTTTATCGTATCTCTCAAAGATTCACCATATTTTACCGCTTTGGGCCTGGTGTGGTTCTTTGTCATGAAGTAAATAATTAACAAAATAATTGACAAACATCCATTAAAATATCTGAACCTGGTGATTTTCTTTATAGGTATGCTACTTATCTTACATATGCCCAGACAATAGATTTTCAAAATACACAATTGATTGCTTATAGGGGTAGAACATACTCAAACATATAGGGGTAAATATACACAAACATATCAATGCATAAATTGATTGCTTATGCTGTTATGCATTGTGAGAAAGCAAAATGTTCTTAGCATATTAACTCATTTATGCTCATTACTACACTAAACTTGAGAAAAAGATATATTCAAACATAAGTATATCTATTATCCATAGATGGAGAAGTAGCATCATCATGCTATATACTTCGTATTAATCGAATTTCTCACCATAACTCCTTAACTACCTATAGGATACACCAGAATTATAAATTTTTAGTACAAAGCAAAATTTGATATAAAAAAGAGTAAAAGGGATATTAACGCCAACCACTCTGTCACTTCTTTATGCCTCTAACTCTTTCTACCAAAACTTAAATCCTATTGTGTGACACCATAACTAAAGTGTCTGGTAATCATTTAACAAATACTAATTTATGTCTTTTTAAGAAGTTCCAGCGCCTTTTAAGTGGTGAACCATTAATATGAATTTGTGAAACATGAATAGCAGCCCAAGAAACTTCAGAAGTGGATATATTCAAAGACTAATATGCATATCACCCATTACAGCACTCACTATCTTTATGTAGTACACCGAGAAATTAGAAAAAAGATTGTATAAAATTGTCAAAAATTGTTCTTTTGCCTACACTTTGTCAAGCATATAGGTCTGCAGTAACTGGTTTATAATCTTGGTAGTCTTCGGAGGTTAGCAATTTCTTTAACAATGTAAGGGAAGAAAAAAAGAGCCATCTTCACAAAATAGACAGAATGTATATCACTCTGGCATTATCAAATTCTCAAAGCTAGGCTAATTTCCAGACGCTAAAGAAAACGCGAGTCTGATTCGGAAGAGTAGAGAGATTAGTCGTATTTACGCAAATGTCCCTAGTCATGAGCGGGAAACGCACTTAAGCGGATTAATATATATAGATAACATTCTTATTCTTATTCATATTCTTATTCATATTCTTATTATTCTTATTCTTATTATTATTATTATTACTATTACTATTACTATTACTATTACTATTATTACTATAGTTATATTCTTCCGCCCCAAATTGAATTGCAAATTTAATTTTTTCTAGATCAAACCGTTTCATTTTATTCATTTGATTATGACATAAATTCTTGATTATATTTTAATTTGAATTATATAAATTTATAGAAATTTTGTTAAGATCCGGGGTTCCATCCTAAAAGGTCAACCTGTTAGGAGGAGTAGCCCAGACCTTAATATAGCACTCGTTTCATTCAAACTTTTCCGGTGTGGAACATTTAACAAATTTTAATGTATTTTCTAAATATGTAAATTTTAATTATTAAAATTTGAATTAATTTCTTCTTTTTTTGGCAAAAAAATGAATTATTTATTAATAGATAGAAATGAACTTTAACATCCATTGATAATAATGTTAACTTAGAAAAAAAAATTGGAACGGAGGTAGATTTTGTATTTTCATTTACTTATATTGAAGTTTAGTTCTATACATAATAATAACCGTAATAGCAATTGAAATGATATCTCGTTATTCTGGTGGAGTGGTTTGCATTTTGGAACATGGAAGGGAAATGATTGAGCCTGGGTTCGATTCCCACAAGCCTCAATTTTGTTGTTATTTTTAGGGAAAATGGAAACTAATAATCCAACCTTTTAGCGGTCTTCTTTCAATAATCCCACCTTTTGATTATTCATGAATAATCCAACCTTTGCACCTCATCTTCATTCATTGGTCCCTGGTCGGTTAATGACCTACTATTCCAAGTTATTTTCTTATCTTTGCAAAATATTATCTTTGTGAAAGATGAGATTTATGGTATAATGATTTGCAAAGATAAGAAAATAGCTTGGAATAGCAGGTCATCAACCGGTCAGGGACCAGTGAATGAAGATGAGGTGCAAAGGTTGGATTATTCATGAATAACCAAAAGGTTGGATTATTGTAAGAAGACCGCTAAAAGGTTGGATTATTAGTTTCCATTTTCCCTTATTTTTATACCTACTACTGTTGGTCCAAAATAGGACGCTCGTAGGCTTTTAGGAAAGCTACGTAAGAACACTCAAGCAGAAATCAGGAAAGTAATACGAGTAAGGAAGGTAGCTAGAGAGTTTGGTAGCCAGAAATAGCATGTCTGTATTCGAAATATAACTTGCCTTTTATAGGCGCTTACAAATGGTAACTGCCGAATAATAATGACTAAATTAATTACAATATTAATACAAAATTAAATACATGATTAATGGTGCATTGATTGCTGGCCGTTACGCTTCTTGGCTGGCTGGCTGGCGGGTCGGCCTGGCTGACGGTCCGGACGCTTGAGCTTCTCGGGCGGCAGGCTTCCGTCGGGCTGGAAGGCAGGCTCCTAGCTAGGCCGCAAGGCAGGCTTCCAGTTGGCCGGCAGGCAGGCCGTCTTGGGCTTCCACTCCGCTGGACCTCCACTCCCTAATGGGCCCGGTTGGTTGGGTCGACTTGATATCTGGACCGTTGGGTCCACTAGCTGGGCTTGCCTGGCGAGACGACAGTCCTAGGCTTGGGCCTGCTTATCCAAGTTTGGGGCAAAGTCTGATTAGGCGTTGGGCCTAGTCCTATGATCCCATCACGAGTCCCCCACTCCCTTAGTCGAGTAGTAGACTCGGCTAAGAGGGAGTAGTCCAAGTCAGCTGCCAATTTAAAAATGTTCACACACTAGGGAGTAATAATTGTGGATTCTGTAAATCCCACAACTTATGGAAATTTTCTAATTTTAAATAAAGCTCTCAGCTTTAATAGGCTTCAAATTAATTCATTCAACATCCTAGCATTCTAGCAGTCAGCTTTCTTCCATACTCCAGAATCCAGGTCAGCTTCCGAATATTCCTCAAAATAATTATTTTCGGACCCCTAAATTTTTTTTCCTTTTCCTTTTCCTCTCCTTTCCTTTTCTTTTCTTTTCTTTTCTTTTCTTTTCTTTCCTTTTCTTTTCTTTCCTTTTCTTTTCTTTCCTTTTCTTTCTCTCTCCTGGTTCCCTGCGTGCGTCTTCCTCGCGTCGCCCGCATCGCCCAGCGCCGCAGTCAACTTGCCGGGCGGGTTGACCGCCGTTTTCCCTCCGGCGGTTCCACTGGGTCGTCTCCTCCGTGCAAGGCGGCTGTCCCGCGCCGCCCACCGGTGACCGACGTCGCCCACCGGTGACCGACGTCGCCCTGGCAGTCCGGCAAATCTGGCCGGCTGGTCTGGTCGAGCGGGCTGACCGCCGCTTTCCCTCCGGCAGCTCTACTGGGTCGGCCCCGCCGTGCTAGGCGGCTATTCCGCGCCGCCCACATGTGACCGACGCCGCCCCGGCAGCCCGGCAAATCTGGACGGCCGGTCTGGTCTCCTACCGCGTCCGGCTGGTGCGTCTCGCCTGGGCCGGCGGCCACCCCTTGCTGGTCGGCGCCTGCCAAAGGTTGGCGTCCTGGCTGGGCGCCCCTCTTGTCCATCTCCGGCGTTATGACTTTCGCGCAGCGCCGCCGTCAGCCCCCCAAGGTTGACCGACGCACGCGGCTCACCCCTCTGCCTTGCCGGGCTCTCCCACCAGCCGGCGGCTCTGACGGTGACATGCCCAAGTCAGTCGGGTCCCCATGTAGGTCCACGAGCCGCCCTGCGCCTTGGTTCTGAAAATGACGGGCCGGGGTGAAGTCTCTATTACCCGGGGCTCCGCGTTGTCCGGCGGTCTCCCCGGTGCTCTTCTTTATCCGGACGGCAAGGTGGCTGCAACCCCCCTTTTCCTTCTTGCTTGCCAATGACGTAAATTATCTGTGCGCGGGGTCCAACCTTCTTTCATGAAGGCAACTCGCGGGTCCATCACAGGCTGTTGCCCGGCGCCCCACGCGAGCAGTCCTCCCAGCGTCCAGCTCCACCTTGGCCGCATAGAGTTGGTTGAGGCCGGCGGGCCGGCCGATCGTCCTTCACCGGCATGGCATCGCCCCGGAAGTCGGCGGTTGTCTTATTGCTGACCGGCTCCACCCCTCATCCAGGTGGCCATGCGGGTGTGAGCCCCCCTGTTGGCGCACTCCAAGTTGACGGGCAGGCTTAACGCCTCGTATATGCTAACTCACTTTTTTTTTGTTTCTGATGTGCAGGTGGGCCCCATCCCGTTTGACCATGCAACACGGAGGGTGCTCTTCTCATCAAAAAAATGCTCAAGGCTCTCACACAGCAATGCAGGTTGGAGTTCAGCCCCTCCCCAAGCCATCAGACTCGGGACTGTCGGCCATCACTGAAGGCAAGCATGAGGCGGCCATGAAACCCATTCGGGCCAGCCGTGGCCCCAGACCACGTATGCATGTGGGGAAAGTTACCGGACAGCAGGCTGAGATTCTCCCAGGGGTAGCCCCAACTAAGCGGGTCACCGTTTTCGAGGGCCGACTCCTCAACGTTCCGGACAGAGCGCGCACCCAACCCGTGGACGTGTCAGATTCTGATGATGACTCTGGCGCTTGGGAAGACCCGAATTCTTGGTGGGACCTCGACAATAGCGGGATAGTGAACCTCCCCCCTTGCGTCCAAGACGAGGACCTTGCCGTGGCACGCAGTCTGATCGGTGCCGAGTGTTCATCGAAAATCCCGGAGGCTACTGAAGTACTGAGTGATCCCCCGATCCCTTATTTTGGGGTCCATATCCGCTCTCTGGAGTTAGGGATGGTTGTGCCTCTGCATCCTTTTCTGGTTCGATTTCTTCACTTCCTGGGTGTGGCACCGGGCCAACTGGCTCCGGCGGCTCACATGTTCGTGGCAGCTTTCGTGGCGCGGTGCGAGGACGTGGGCCTCACTCCCACAATCGATTTGTTTTTTAGCTGCTTCCAGTGGCGCGCCTCCAACTTTTTTGCCTCAGTCTCCCAGAGGCCAGTGAGCAAGCTATTCCGGTCGGGTTACCCTGACTCAGGTAGCCGATGGAAGAAGAGGTGGATCTGGGTGTCTGACCCTACCCTTCCATCACCTCCTTTCCAGTGGGGTGAGCGGCTCCGGAAGTGTGATCGGGTCGCCCTTTCCCCTGATCTCAAGTCATCCATCGAGGTGTTGTCCGCAGGCGGCCCCCGCTCCATCAGCTCATACTTAGGTGATCGTCACTCCCTCAGTTTAGGTTTGGCTATTTTGTATTTCACCTTACTCATCCTCACATTTTCTTCCGCAGATGTGCCCGATAGGCCTGAGAAACATATCGCCGGTGCCGAATCCGATGATGATGACGAAGAAGCCCAGCCATTCATCGCTCGTGTAGCTCCCACGGCCACCAAGGAGAAAGAGCATGGAGCTCCCCCAAACCTTGTAGCACAGATTCCGAGGAGGGTGAGGGTCACCTTTGGGCCTCAGCCTGCCGCACCAGCGAAGAAGAAACAGAAGAGGGATATTGTTGATTTACTGGTCGAATTGGATGAGTCTGATGACGAGGAGGTGGAGCCTCACTTAGCCACTGCTCCTGTGGCCCCCCAGGTCGCTGCGGGGACAGGGCACGGAGCCCCCCTGGGCCGAGAGGGGCATGTTTTGGAAGGGGCGACTGTCACCCCGGAATTCCAATCTGCTGGGCAGGCGCATGAAGATGCTGGTGAGAAGATGGCTGAGCGGGTTAGATGCGACACTCAGCACACAGTTGTTTACACATTCCCATCTCCGGGTGCCTCGATCATGCACGAGGGCTTCCCGGTTGTGGACTATGCCTCAGCGATCTTACCGCCGGGTGACCTTGCACGTATGACCTCACAGGGGTTTCAGCCTCTCCTGGAGGATTCCATTCGGACCCATGTTGATGTGAGTGGCCGATCACATCTCTGGCATACTCTGTTTTATCCCTCGATCCCATCATATTTTGTTTGTTTTGTTTTGCAGGGACTTGCTAAGACCATTGGGGCACTTTGGGCAGCCAACCATTCTCAGGCAAAGCTCCAGCGTGAGGTTGATGAAGTTAGAGCCGCCCTACAGGCTAGGGAGAAAGCTTTCTCCGAGTTGCAACTTTTGCATGCAAGAGAGCGTGAAGAAGTGGCCAAGAAAGCGATTCTCGAGTTCAAGGCCTCCGACGAATTCCAGAAAACCATATCTGACAGGGTGGAAGCGAAGGAATCTGACTTAGTAAATAAATGGCTGAAGACTGACGAGGGGGAGTACTGGCATGCTCGTGAAGTTCTGTACGCCTTTCAGTGTGGCAAATACTTGACGCAGCGTAAATTGTATGATCAGTTGGAGGGTCTCGGCCCTGACTTCTATCCATCCGTGCTAGGCCTTCCTGCCCGCATGAAGAAACCTGAGGCTGCAATAGCCCTCTTGCCCCCAGGAGTCTACCGCCAGGAGGAGGAGTCCGGTAACTCGAACGAATGGTGCTGGTTCTTTCCAAGACCTTCGGAGGACATGGTCCCCCTTGCATCCGGTCAGCAGGAGGGAGCTCAAGAGTCCGGCCAAGACTTGGTTGCCATGTTAGATGAGATTCCCGAGGCCAATGGCAATGGGCATGTCCTGCCATGACTTTGTATTTTGCATTTTCCTTGTCTTCCACTCGTATACGTTGTGTTTTGACTGAATGTTTAATTAATTCACATATTTTGAACACATGTGTTTCTTTTCATATACTTTGCATTGCGAGTACTTAAGCAATTTTATTCGGGGATCCGGCTTCTCTATCTTCCCGGGGAGCGATTAGGCTAGCGTGGCCAAGCCTATCCGCGCCCCCTGGTCATATAGAAGTGATCTGTTCGCAACAAGTATGCGACTTGTTCGGCTAGCGAGGTCGGACATTGAACATTCGAGGAGGACACTTAGGTCGGCACCCCGATATTCATGACCTGGGGTCAGTCCTACTGTCACTTTGACCCGTCCATTTCGCCCGGACTTGGGGAATAATCTGGTTACTCCCGCGGGGTGAGCCAAACAATAGGGGCGGACCCTGCATGATCCACCAGAACGGACCCGCACCGCCAACTCGAAGATGGCGAGAGTGCGAGCTGCTTGGCCAGCGACGTCGGGTTGCGAGCACTCAAAAAAGGGGGGACCCAGAGGTCGGCACCTTGGGCGCTCCCGACCCGGGGATCGGCCCTACTATCGCCTCGACCGTCGCGGTTAGCTCTTTACTTTAGAAAATTGCTTGGATTCTTGAAAATCGATGGGCCATTTTCAGTTCAAGAGCCTGACCGAGGTCGGCCAAACACCGAGGGGGGGCATAGTATCTTTTTTTTTTCTTTTTTTTTTTTGCCGCCGCCGCCCTTAATTGCTAAGTGAGGTCGGACCTCTTTTGAATACAAAATATCGCTAGCAAAGTATATTGAATTCATAATGTGGGCGGACCACATGAAGAATTACAAATTGTAATCATGTGCCCAGAGCACATGAGTTCATAAAGAAAAGGTGACACTTCAGTTCTCTACTGATAAAACTTCATCAGGTGCTCGGCGTTCCAGACACGGTCTACCAGCCGGCCTGTTGTCGTCTTCAATTTGTATGTCCCGGGTCCGACCACAGCATCAATCACGTATGGGCCTTCCCACTTGATGGAAAGTTTGCCTCCCTCTGCCGGCTTGCTGGCCTTCCTACGCCTCAAGACGTAGTCGCCAACGTCAAAACTCCGGGGCTGGGCTCGGCTGTCCTGGTACGCCTTGACTTGGCGTCGATAGTTTTCTGCTTTGACGAAGGCGCGGTCCCTCCTTTCCTCAATGAGGTGGAGCTCGGCTCGGAGCCTCTCCTCATTGCTAGCTGGTTCGAACTCTTCCATTCGTCGGCTGGGGACTACGGCCTCGAACGGTGCCCTTGCCTCAAAGCCATAACACAAGGCGAACGGGGTCTCTCCGGTTGCCTTTCTTGGGGTTGTTCTGAAGGTCCAGAGTATATTGTTCAACTCTTCCACCCAGGCAGTTCCGAGGGCCTCCAACTTCTTTTGCAACCCATCGACGATCGTCCGGTTGGTGTTCTCCACCTGTCCATTTGCCTGAGGGTAGCAAACCGCAACCCGGCTGGATTCTACGCCCCACTCGGCGCAGAACTGCCGAAAGGCTTCGCAGTCAAACTGCCTTCCGTTGTCGGAGATTATTTGGAGGGGAACTCCGAACCGGCAAAAAATATTCTTCCATATGAATTTCTTACACTGGAGATGTGTGATGCTGGCGAGCGGCTCAGCCTCGACCCACTTCGTAAAGTAGTCCACCGCGACGATTACAAACTTCCGGTTTCCCGACCCGGTTAGCAAGGGACCGACCAGGTCGACGCCCCATCTCGTGAATGGGAGGGCGGTGCTGATCGGTGTGTACATCGTCGCTGGCCGACCGGGGCTCTTCTGGAACTTCTGACATGTCTCACACCTCCTCGCATAATCGGCACAGTCTCGCATTATCGTCGGCCAGAAGTAACCCTGGAGAACAACCTTCCTGGCAATTGTGCATGCCCCCTGGTGGGCGGAGCACACGCCCCCATGGAGTTCGGAGACGATCATGTCCGCTTCATGCGGGCGCAAACACTTTAGCAACGTCCCATTGTAGGACCTCTTGTATAGCTTCCCGTCCAAGACGACGTAGCCCGGAGCTCGTCGGCGGACTAGCTTTGCTTCATCCTCTCTATCAGGCAACGTCCCATCGGCTATGTAACGTAGGAGGTCATCCACCCAGCACCAGGCGGCCGGTTGTAGGGGGAGGACGTTGACGGACGGTGAGGCCGCTATGCTTGAAGTTGTCATCTCCTCAATGCGGGCAATTCTCGAAATGTGTTCGGGCAACCCCTGGGATAGCTTTGAGAGGAGATCAGCGTCCGAGTTTTGGTTTCTCGGGACGCAAACCAATTCTGCCTGCTTGAACAGCCCGAGCAATTCCTGGACCGCATCTCGGTACTTCGTCATCCTTTCTTCCTTCGCTTCGAATTCACCCTTAACCTGGGAAACGACCAACCGAGAGTCACATTTGACCGTTATCCATTCTGCCCCCATGGCGGCCGCTAGCCGCAGTCCGGACAATAGGGCCTCGTACTCCACCTCATTGTTGGAGACTTTGAAAAGATAACGGTAGGCATAGTAGGCCCGGAATCCCTCAGGGGAGATGAGGACGATTCCGCCCCCACATCCTTTTGCTCCGGCCGACCCGTCTGTTGCTAAGGTCCACCACTGCTCATTACTCTCCTGTTGTTTCTCTGTCACCTCTCGGGATGTGCACTCCACGATGAAATCGGCCAAAGCTTGGCCCTTGATGGACGTCCGAGGCTGGAAGTCGACCTCGTACTGACTGAGGAGCATCGACCACTTCACCACCCGCGCTGTGCCGGGCGCCCTCAGGGCTGCCCCTAGAGGTTGTTCCGACAGGATTCGGATTGGATGCGCTTGGAAGTAGTGTGTCAACTTCTTCGCGGTGATGTAAGCGGCATAGATCGTCTTTTCGAGCGGGGTGTACCGGAGTTCGGCATTCTGGAGGGTTTTGCTTACATAGTAGACGGGACGTTGAGTGCCTTCCTCTTCACGAACCAGCACGGAGCTGATCGCGCCTTGAGAAACCCCAAGGTACAGGATCAACGTCTCCCCCCTTTCCGGCTTGCTGAGTAGAGGCTCGGAGAGGAGGTATTTCTTCAAGTCTTCGAAGGCTCGCTGGCACTCATCAGTCCAGACGAAACCATTTTGCTTCTTTAGGATCTGGAAGAAAGGTAATGATTTCTCAGCGGACTTCGACATGAAGCGCCCGAGGGCTGCTAGCCGACCGGTGAGAATCTGGACTTCTTTTACCGATCTCGGGGGCTCCATGTCAAGTATCGCCCTTACCTTCTCGGGATTTGGCTCAATCCCTCTTCGTGTGACCATGTATCCCAGGAACTTGCCTCCCTGGACAGCAAAGGTACACTTCTTTGGGTTCAGGCGTAGTCGCACTGCCTTCATGATCCCGAAAATCTCTGCCAAGTCATCTGCGTGGTCGGCCGCTCGGGTGCTCTTGACGATCATATCGTCGACGTATGCTTCCATGTTCCTTCCGAGCACCTTCCGGAATACTTTGGCCACCATCCTCGTGTACGTTGCCCCGGAATTCTTTAGCCCGAAGGCCATGACAAGATAGCAAAAAATTCCCTCCGGGGTAACGAACGAGGTCTTCTCCGCGTCATCCTCATGCATAAAAATCTGGTGGTATCCTCGAAAGGCGTCCATGAAGCTAAGGAGCTCACACCCGGCCGTCCCATCAACTAGTTGGTCGATGTTAGGTAACGGGAACGGATCCATTGGACACGCCTTATTGAGGTCGGTGTAGTCGACACACATCCTCCAGGTCGGTGGCTTCGGGGCCAGGACCACGTTCGCCAGCCACACCGGGTATAGGACTTCCCGGATGTGTCCGATACTCAGGAGCATGCTGACCTCCTTCTTCACGAATTCCTTCCTCTCGATGGAGAGATGTCTTCTCTTCTGCTGAACGGGTTTCGCCGATGGGTCGACCGCCAACCGGTGGACAGCGATGCCTCGGTCGAGTCCGGGCATGTCCTCCGGCCCCCACGCAAAGACAACGCTGAAAAGGATCAAGACTCGGATGATTTTTTCCCTCAAGCCGGCCGGGAGGCCGGTTCCAATCTTGACCCTCCGTTCTGGCTTCTCGGGGTCAACCTGAATTTCCTCCACTTCCGAGGTGGGTTCAGCACGGAGTTGGCTCTCCTCATACTTCATGGCTTTGTTGTTGATAGTATGGACTCTCAAGTCCTTTTGGCCGATTTGTTTGCAAGCTTTTAGGTAGCAGCTCCTAGCCATCCGCTGGTCTCCCCTAGCAACTCCGACACCATTCTGAGTGGGGAACTTCATGCACAGGTGCTCCTGGGATATCACACACCTCAGGTCCTCCAGGGCCGGCCTCCCCATGATGATTTTATGCGGACAAGTTAGGCGTACGACTATGAATTCGACGTTTAACTTAGACACGCAGGGCTCGGAGCCCACCACCACAGGGAGAACTACGCTTCCTTCCGACTCAATGGAGTCCCCGGTGAAGCCTGAGAGTGGGGTCCTTACCGGGATCAAGTCCTTCCTGTCCAGGCCGAGCCCCTGGAAGGTATCATAGTACATGATGTTAACGGAGCTCCCATTATCTACCAGGACTCGGTGGACGATGGTGTCGTTGATCTCGATCTTGATCATCAAGGCGTCCCTGTGCGGTGGCGGCATCGGCGGCAAATCTGCAACGGTGAAGAAGATGGGATCCCTCTTCACCCTCTTATCGACAGGAACTCTGGTTACTTCCCCAACGTACAAGGCTCGGGCCCATTGTTTCCGCTCTCCCGAGGTATCCCCTCCTTGGGGTCCCCCGAAGATGTATGAACATCGATGGTGTTTACGGGAGCCATCCCCTAGGTCGGCCTCATCATCCTCGGAAAGGGCGCCAAGCTCCCGCTTCTTGGCGGGTTGCTTCTCCTTTGATGTGGTAGCTTGGTCAGACCGCTGCCACGTTAGGCTCCTCTTTTGTGGGATGTTTCCTTGCTTGCCAACAAACTGGCCCAGATACCCTCTCTGGATAAGCTCTTCAATTTGCCGTCGGAGAA